AAAAAAAAAAGAGAATAAGAGAGAGCAGAAAAAAAATTCTGTGTGTGTTATTATTCAGTGAGATAAAAATAGAGTGTTTGAGTAAATCCTGTAGGTGTGAGAAAAATACACCGGGTTGGGTATCAACTCTATTACCCTTTGTTTAGGAGTGGGGTCTGACTGGGTCACTATATTTTACATTTCTAGTGTAGGGGAGTGTGAAAAGATATTGTAATTATTTTGAAAATATAGTGGAACTGTTCGGAGGTTGTCCCGTGGTTTTTTCCTCTATTTGGAGGTTTTTCCACGTTAAATTACGGTGTCTTCTTTCTTACATATTTTATTTATTTGGGATATTCTTAGTATGGTCTGTGGTTGTAGTTTAATCTGATCTTCCACATCATAAAAGAATTATTCCTATTTTATTACAAGAGATAATGGAGGACATACTTTTCTACAAAGATCTGTACGATCCTGTAGAAAAGGGAGACAACAAGCCAGATGATGTGAAGAATGACGATTGGAAAAAAATACACAGAAAGGCTGTCAGTTTAATCCGACAGTGGGTGGATATCAGCATATTCCACCATGTTGCCACAAAGTCAAAAGCCCATACTCTGTGAAAAAATTGAACAAATGTACCAGAGGAAGACTGCACAGAATAAAGCTTTCATCATTAGAAAGCTTGTAAATCTAAAATATCAGGATGGAAGACCAGTTGCAGAACACTTGAATGAGTTTCAAGACATGGTAAACCAACTCGTTACCATGGAGATGAAACTTGATGAAGAGCTGCAGGCGTCGTTACTTTTAAGTTCTTTACCGGATAGTTGGGAGACTCTGGTGGTCTCGTTGAGCAACTCTGCTCCTGAGGGAAAACTGACTTTGACCCAAGTCAAAGACAGTATATTTAATGAAGAAAAAAAAAAGAAAAGACTCTGGGGCAAGCAGTTCCCAAGCCCTGGTCACATAAACTAGGAGGAGAAGTAAAAGCAAAGGCCGGAATAACAAATCCAGAGATAAATCACAATCTCAACCTAGGAGAAAATACAAGTGTTATCACTGCAGTGAAGAAGAGCATATCAAAAGAAACTGCAAAGCTTGGAAGAACAGAGGTTGGAGAAACAACAAGACAGAAAACGATGAAAATACCACAAAAAGAAGTGGTGTTGCTCTCTGTTGAAGAAGAAGAGTGTCATGTTGCTGATTCACGTGTTGAATGGGTCATTGACTCAGCAGCATCATACCATGCAACCTCTCACAAGGAATTCATTTCTCTATACAAAGAAGGAGACTTTGGTAGAGTAAATATGAGCAACAACAACATTGCAAATATTGTGGGAGTTGGTGATGTGTGCATTCAAACTGATATTGGGTGCACAATAACACTGAAGGATGTACGACATATACCAGACTTACGTCTGAATCTGATCGCTGTGCATGCATTGGATCTAGTAGGTTATACTAACAGTTTTGGTAACGGCACGTGGAGACTTACCAAAGGATCATTGTTAGCTGCTATAGGTACAGTGAGATCGACACTGTACAAAACGCAAGTGAAGCTGATCAGGGGTGGATTGAATGCAGTCGAAGATGATGCTTCGCCAAATTTGTGGCACATAAGACTGGCTCACATTGGTAAAAAAGGATTACAGATTTTGGCAAGAAAGTCCCTCATTCCATTTGCCAAAGATTCAAGACTGAATCCTTGTGATTATTGTCTCTTTGGGAAGCATCAGAGAGTGTCTTTCAGCAAAACTTCAAAGCTGAAAGAGAATGTGTTGGAGATGGTTATTCTGATGTATGTGGACCCATGGAAGTGGAGAGTCTCGGTGGTAGCAGATATTTTGTGACATTTATTGATGATGCTTCACGAAAATTGTGGGTATACTTCTTGAGAACGAGAACGAAGTTTTTCAGTACTTCAAAAGGTTTCATGCAATGGTGAAGAGACATGGTGGTAAACCTTTGAAGTGTCTTCGCTCAGATAATGGGGGAGAGTATACTTCCTATGAATTCAAGAATTATTGTGCCGAGCATGGCATCAGGCATGAGAAGACTGTACCTAGACCCCACAACATAATGGTGTGGCTGAAAGAATCAATAGAACCATTATGGAGAAAGTGAGGTGTATGTTAAGCATGGCAAAACTACCTAAGCCATTCTGGGGTGAAGCTGTTCTAACGGCGTGCTACCTGATCAATCAATCTCCATCTGTTCCTTTGGGCTTTGATATTCCTGAGAGAGTATGGTCCGGACATGATGTTAAATACTCTCATTTAAAGGTGTTTGGATGCAAAGCTTTTGCTCACGTAAGCAAGGAACATAGACGAAAACTTGATGATAAAGCCATTCCTTGTATATATCTAGGCTATGGAGATGAGGAATTTGGCTACAGGTTATGCGATCCAGAAAATCGAAAAATTATCAGAAGCAGAGATGTAGTGTTCCATGAGCAAGAAACTATGTCTGATTCTACTTCACAGAAACAAGAGAACCAAGTGGTAAGGTTGATCTTTCACCTGTCAAACCTCCTGGAGATGCCACAGCAGGGGGAGAGTGTGATGGAGAACTCAGGGTTGATGATGAAGCCAACAGTAGAAGATAGTGATGGTGAAGGTGTCGAGCAAGAAGACCACGAAGCTCCGCCTCAGCTCAGGAGATGAAATTGAGTTATCCAACCATCCACGAGATACCCTAGTTCCACGTATATTACCATCACTGAAGAAGGGGAGCCAGAAAGCTTTGAAGAAGTACAGACCCATAAGGATAAATACCAGTGGATGAAAGCCATGCAAGAAGAAATGGATTCACTGGTGAAAAACGAAACTTATGAGCTTGTGAAGCTTCCAGAAGGCAGGAAAGCCTTGAAAAATAAATGGGTGTTCAAGCTAAAGAAAGATGGTGACAAGCTGTTGAAATACAAGGCTCGTTTAGTTGTGAAAGGATTTGGACAAAAGCGAGGAATAGACTTTGATAAGATATTCTCTCCGGTTGTAAAGACGAGCTCTATTCGAGTAGTACTCGGATTGATGGCTAGCTTGGATCTGGAGCTTGAACAACTAGATGTGAAGACTGCATTTCTTCATGGAGACCTAGATGAAGAAATCTACATAGAGAAACTAGAAGGATTTGAGAAGATTGGAAAGGAGCACATGGTTTGCAGATTGAAGAAGAGCTTGTATGGACTGAAACAAGCTCCAAGACAGTGGTACAAGAAATTTGACTCGTTCATGGCGAGTCATGGATATACCAAGACTGATGCAGATCATTGTGTGTTTGTTAAGAAATTTCCAGGTGATAAAATCATTATCCTTTTGTTATATGTAGATGATATGTTGATAGTGAGACAGGATATGAAGTTGATTGGTGATCTGAAGAAGGATTTAGCAAAGTCCTTTGAAATGAAGGAGCTGGGCCCTGCAAAACAAATTTTGGGCATGCAGATCAAGCGAAACCAAAAATCCAAGAGGTTATGGTTATCGCAAGAATGGTATGTGAATCGGGTTCTGGAGAGATTTAACATGAAATCGGCTAAGCCGGTCAATACACCATTAGCCAATCACTTCAAGTTCAGCAAACGAAGTTGTCCTACGAGTCAAGAAGAGAAAGAAGCTATGGCGGGTGTTCCATACTCCTCAGCAGTCGGGAGTTTAATGTATGCCATGGTATGTACAAGACCAGATATCGCTCACGCGGTTTGAATTGTTAGCAGGTATCTTTCCAATCCTGGGAAAGATCATTGGGAAGCTGTGAAGTGGATCTTGAGGTACCTAAAAGGCAGTGCAAATAAGTCCTTAAGCTTTGGAAAAGGAAACCCAATTCTTGAAGGTTATACAGATGCGGATATGGCAGGTGACCTGGATAGTAGAAAATCTACTTCAGAGTTTGTGTTAACATTTGCAGGATGAGCTGTATCCTAGCAATCTAAATTGAAAAAATCTGTTGCCATGTCGACTACTGAAGCTGAATATATTGCAATGACAAAAGCAGGCAAAGAAATGCTTTGGTTGAAGAGGTTTCTTCAACAATTGGGAATGAAGCAAGAAAGGTACGATATTCATTGAGATAGTCAGAGCGCATTGGATTTAAGTAAGAATGAGATGTACCACTCTCGCACGAAGCACATTGATGTTAGATATCATTGGCTACGTCAAGCAGTGGATGAACAACAGTTCAAGTTAGACAAGATTCACACTGACGAAAACCCTACTGACATGATGACGAAAGTTGTAACAGGAGGAAAGCTTCAGCTTTGTGCCGAGTTGATCGACATAGAATGCATGTGAGAATTGCAGAATATTATCATTTGGCTGGAGGGGGAGAATTGTCAGATCCAGCCAAAAGTTGGCCATCAAACATGTGCACAAACAAACAAAACAAAAGAATATATATATATATATATTATATATATATATATATATAAAGCAAAAGGAATCAAATTGGCTGGCAGAGAAAAGAGCTGGTCGAACAAGTAATGACGGTAGAAGAAATGGTCGATTGGAGGGCCGAGATCAGAAATTGGCTAGCCCGAGGAGAAAAACCAGAAGATAGAAATACTGCAGAAAAGCTGGTGAGGAGAGCCTCGAAGTTCGTTTTGGAGGGGGACAACCTATACAAGAAGACATATGAGGGACCAGACCTCAAATGTGTATCAATGGAAGAAGGGGATTATGTATTGCGAGAAATCCACGAGGGGTGCTGCGGTATCCATATAAAGTCGCGGGCGCTCGTTGGGAAAGCATTGCGGGCGAGTTACTTCTGGCCCATTGTGCGCGCCGACGCATTGAAGATGGTAACAACTTGTCGGCCCTGCCAGATGTACGATGTCACCACACATAGACCCACATAAGAGATGATGCCGATGATGACCCCTATCCCCTTCGCGCAATGGGGGATTGATATCGTGGGGCCGTTACCACAAGGAACGGGGCAACGCAACTGGCTACTGGTCGCTATAGACTATTTCACCAAGTGGGTCGAGGCAGACGCGTTAGCTACCATAACCGAGAAGAGGGTGATTGACTTCTTATTTACAAACATCTGTTGTCGATATGGTATACCAAGGACTTTGATATCGGATAACGGTGCACAGTTCAATGGGTCGAAGATTAAATCATGGTGCAAGGAGATGAAGATAAGACAAAAATTCGTGGCAGTGGCGCATCCGCAAGCCAATGGACAAGTAGAGGTCGCTAACCGAATCATCGTACAAGGACTCAAAAAGAGACTCGAAAGGGTGTCGGACGCATGGGTGGACGAGTTGGATTCGGTGTTGTGGTCGTATAGAACAACCCCTCAGAGCTCGACCGGGAAGACACCATTCAGCTTGGTCTATCGGATGGACGCCGTCATACCCGTCGAAGTAGGGGCCAGCTCGCGAATGGTCGACACATATGATGAGGGCACTAACAACGAGCTCCAGAGAGAGGCCTTGGCAACGATTGACGAATTGCGCGACGCGACGGCCCTAAGGGTGGCTTTGTACAAACAACGGATGAAGATGGCCTATGATAAGAAGGTTAGACCTAGAGGATTTCAAGTTGGAGACTTGGTGTGGCGAAGGGCAGATGCGCTGAAGAAAGTCGGAAAGATGGAACCAGTGTGGGAGGGGCCATTTAAAATTTTCAAAGTCCTGAAGGAAGGAGCGTACGAACTCGAAGTAGAGTATGGCAAGGCGCTGCCCAGGGCGTGGAACGTTATCCACCTTAAGAAGTATTTTATTTGAGTAAAACTAGGGAGAAACGGCGGATGTATATACCTTTTGTTGCCTTTTGTTGACACCGTAGTACTTGTTCCGGTGAATATCGTGTAGCCTTAAGGGCGTTTTGATGTACAACAATATTTGTGATGATGTGCCTAATGAAATGTCGTGTTTTGTTGAAAACAATGATATGTGTCACAACCTACAGAGCCGCACGGGTCGATCAGAAGCCTTAGCGCTAGGTCACCCAGGGCGAATATGTTCAAGGCCACGTGGGTCAATCAGAAGCCTCGAGGCTAGATCGGCCGAGGTGAACGTTTTCTTTTTTAAGGCCACGCGGGTCGATCAGAAGCCTTAGGGCTAGGTCACCCGGGGAGAATATGTTCAAAGACACGTGGGTCAATCAGAAGCCTCGAGGCTAGATCGGTCGGGGCGAACGTTTTCTTTTTTAAGGCCACGCGGGTCGATCATGAGCCTTAGGGCTAGGTCACTTGGGGCGAATATATTCAAGGCCACGTGGGTCGATCAGAAGCCTCGAGGCTAGATCGGCCTGGGTAAACGTTTTCTTTTTTAAGGTCACGCGGGTCGATCAGAAGCCTTAAGGCTAGGTCACCCGGGGCGAATATGTTCAAAGCCACGTGGGTCGATCAGAAGCCTCGAGGC